GTCCAAGTATCACCTAACTCCAAACCAAATTTCGATATCATAGTACTTCTTAACTAAAAGATATCGGCATTTTTAGAAGTCATGATTTTCGAAGAAAAAAATTGAAATTAATTTTTATTTCGAAAACGGTAACAGATAGGTATAGGGAAATATCAAGAAAAGTTGTCGGGCAATTGTTGGAGATTCCAAAAATAATATTATATACAGAGTGTTCCATTTGAAAAATCAAAGTTGCTACTGCTTTCTAATAGAAGCGGCAACACCGCATTGTCGAAAATATTTTAGTTGGCTAGAGAATGTCCGAATATGCCCTCCATTAAATTTTCAAAGTGATCCGTTGTCTGGTTCACCAGAAACGTCTAATGTGCCATCCACCATGAATCAGCCTGTATATGAGAATATCTGAGAAAATGAAAAAGTGAAATCTACCAGAGTGATATCGCTGAAAAAACATTGTCTGACATACATTTCAATTATGACCAATCGCCAAGTAATTTAATATTACTGAACCAGTTTTCAGCTTCCGGCAATATTTTGCCTCTTATCCTCTATGTCAAATTTAGGACCAGTGTAAACTATTAATTCTCACCAGTGTAAAACTGAATTTTTATGTCTTTTAGAATTCAATAAAATTAATTCAGGCAGATATGCGTATAAACCAAAAATTTAAATAATTTCCTTCAAAATAGATGATACAGCTGATCAATAATTGATTAAAATCCCTTATCTTTTCAAAAAACACAGTTTGATGTGTGTGTTCCTCCAAAAGAAAGACAAATACAATCAATCAGATCAGAGAACTCAGAAAAAAATTTTTTGTTGAAGTACATTTTATCCAAAACAATCAAGGTCCATTCAAAGAAAATTAAATCGATTTTATAGCCCGAAAAAAAGGTAAAATAATTCTTACTTCAAAAGCAGTATCGTCTTGTGAAGAGCAGTTACAGTACAATTTTCACTCGCAGCCATTTCCAAAAACACCAAAGAATGTTTCACAAATTCTGGATATTTGGTGGTGATTATGTGAGCATTTCCGTCGTGTGATTCACAAATATTAGCAAGAATATTAAATATTCTCTCATTTATTGTAGTTTCTTCGGGATATCGCCTAATTAATTCGGTAAATGACATTAAAATGTTCATGACATCCACCTAAAACGTAAAAAATCAAATTGAGTATGTTTAAGCAACTCAGTTTCCTATAAACCAATTATTTTAAAAATGTGATTCAGAAATATTTACTTTCCGAAAACTAACGTAATTAAATATTTTGGTAAAGTAAAATTTGAACAAATTCAAGTATGATGAATATAATACACATTATTAATGGAATGGCGATGAATATTACCATTGAAATTTTCTAAAATAAGTTTTCAAAACCGCCTGACACGTGCTCCACTGTACAACAGCTTCCTCAAGCAGGAGTGCAAAATTTATTTTCTGTTTGAAGCATGAAACGGCTCTTCAATTCAAGATATTTCCTTCAGAATATACTGAAGGAGAAGTGAAGGAAATATAAAACAAATTTAAAAAGTTTCAAAATTTTGTAGGACTAATGCAAATTTTTAAAAAAGAAAACGTAAACAATATTAGAATAATGTGTCTTTTTTCCAATCCATTCATTTATCAAAAACAATCTCAACACTGTTATTTGTATGACCTTCTATACAGGAAAACATCGGCTTTAATCTGGTCTAGCAAATTGTTACATTTATCAATTTATAAAGCAAAATTTGAGAAAACATAGAATTACATGAGGTTCAGAGTCGACTTCTTCACAGTAATTATCATGACACCAAAAATAATAACTACCCTTATTGAAGTCGCATCTTGAATTACAATCCTTAACCGGATCGTAAATGTATTTGATTGTTTTTAAGAATAATAATAATTTTTATTTTGTTTTCTATAGAATACCATACCCAAAAATGAAACCTACAGCAATCATCGAATCAAAGTGTAGAATCAAAATATAGCAACATATTTTTTCTGAGACGTTCATGAGAGAATATTAATTCAATTCAAAACATTTCTGTAATTATCATAACAATTATAGTTATATCATCGTTCTATAAATATCTGCAATGAAATATCAAATTATATTTCGTTACAAAAAAAGTGTTACTCTAAAAGTATTTTCCCCTTGATGAATTATGCATCAAATGATCTTCACTACTACCTCAACTAGTGTCGGCTTAATGAAGTACGGGTACAGAATCAATAAAAACGTATACTTTCCATACCTATAACAATACAATGCTTGTTTCCTAAAAATTGTCAATGGCTAGAATGCTAATCTAATTGAAATAGAGATCGAGATATTAAGTAACTAGAAAACTACATCAAATTGATTTTTCGCCAATTTGATACCAAAACTCCGATACTCGATGAAAATTCATAAAGTTTGATTCTTTTCGGGATTTTCACTGAACAATTAGCTATTATTTGAATAAATTACAGATTTTTCTGAAATCTACTGGGATGAAATATTTCAATAACGCACTCGACAGATAATGTGTGTATTAGTTTATCAAATATGTGTGTAGCATTAATTTTATTCTCCCATCTATTTTTACGTATATTTGAAATTTGCTACATAGTTCAAAAAAGGTAAATAAAACGGGTACTTACTGAATTTCTGGTTGTATCAAATTTATAATACTTATAATAATCACTCGTGACATAAGTTTCTATGATGCTCAACGATATGTTGATTATTTTCTCCTCATTCGTTTCTAACGCCATCAGTACGTATGCCAAGCAATTCGTATTTTTAAACTGTACAATTTCGCATGTGCAGTACATCAAATGGCTTTGAATAGTGGTTAATAATTTGAATAGGTCTGTAACGCCACGTCTGCTTTTCAGTTCTTCAACAAGTTCACAAAAACACTTCGTTTCGTTTCCTTCTGCCATTTCTTACTCAAAATATTATTTCACTGCTTCAAATTTGAAATTTTCAAATTTGGTGAAGACACTGATCACTATTGTTCAGCAATAACTTTGGAAATAATCGAATTGAATAATAGATGTTAATTCCTAAATACTTTTCGAAGTATTGAGAAGAAGAAATCTTGTATGCTTCACTCTAGACAATGTTTGCGCGGAACCGACTCATGTTCGACTTGATGTCTTCGAAATTTTCGTATCTGAACGTTTACACTCACAGAAAAAAAATGAGAAATCGATATTATCTGTTATTTACCAACATTTTATGTTTATATATGACAAGATAGTGTTTTGTCTTAAAAAATACCTAACTTTTCTATTCAGTCAAATATCTTTCTAATGAAACATCAATATCCTGACAAAAAGAAAATGGCAACACCCACCCGTTACAAACAGTTCAGATTCAAGCAGTGTGAAGAATGAAATTATGTAATATTAAGGCATAGAAGATGAGACTCAAAAAGAAGTAATTTGTGAAATGAGTTTTTTTTTCATTGAATTCGAGGGCATATGCCCGCAAGGTATGTTAATAGCAACTTCGGAAAATTCAATCTAAATAGACCACGAACTACTATTTTATTTCAAATAGCCAATTGGAAAATGTTAGTGTAGGCATAATAGCAATTCAGAGTTATACCACTAGAACGCCACCATGAAAATACTTGAAAATGTAAAAAATTAAGATGAGTTAATTATTTTGTTATTTAGAAAGTTTTTTCATGAATGGTTGAATATAATAATCTTAAACACCATCAGAACCGAAAATAGTATGCGACTGAAATAGTAGAATGAAAGGATTTGACGTCGTACAAACAGAGGCCGATACTGAACTTTCGCTGCCTGCCCTAATGAAAGGCTATCAATTCATTGTCGACAATTTTTGGGTACTTTCAACATCTACAATCTGAAACATACGAAAATCGCAACAGAGAACTTAATACATTAGTGGAAACAGCAAACTTATCAGTTCACTCCGATAAGTTACTGCGAAAATTAAAAGTATTTTTTACAAAGGAAAATGCCTATTCATCAGTAACTTGTCGTATCCATCAATTTTGTCTATAAAAAAATCTGAGAAAGCATACAGATACTTATCTTGACGTTTCGGAGGCTAAAATCTGCCCCCGTCTTCAGAATTTGAAAATTAATGAGTATATTAGCAGTTTTTTCTTCGCTGATTCTCTTTATTTCTTAAATATCCTCGAGCTGTCAAGAAGAAATGTAATAAAAAATGAATAGTAGCGAAATAGACACAGAATAATATCAGAGAACATTTTGTACTATATTGAATCTTTCGAAAGGGAATAAAAAAATTGATGGGGCTAGTTTTAGGGAGAGATACATGTTTGGGAAAGGAAGGTTTTGACTTTCTACTTTTCCATCTTTATACAAGAAAAGAATGTGATACACCTGATAAAATTCAATAACGAATGTTTCGAGTACAAAATGAATAGAAAAAGTGTTTTTTGTATAGTTCAATGTTCATGAAAAAATAGTTGTTTCGGATTTTTTTTCTTTCGTGTAATTTAATGTTTGTATGAATGTATTTGTTTCGAAAGGGCTTTTTCTTCTAGTTTGTGTCTGGAAGTTACTTCTTTGTAAATAGGTTATTTTTTTTTATTTGGAAGATTCCCACAAGTTTTGTATAGAGAGTAAAAAGTGGAAAGCCTAAACCTCTCTTCATCAATCAAATACATTTACAATTTCACATTTCAGAAGTCATTTGCCGTCTGTCGACGGCAAATGACTTCTGAAATGTGATTCTGAATACGGAGGCAGATTTTAGACTCCGAAACGTTAAAATAAGTCCCTAGCTTTTTTTTCGATAGACAGAATTAGTGATGAATAGAGTTTTTTTCTGAAAAATACTTTGTATTTACACAGTACCTTGTCGGAATGAAGTGATAAGTTTGCCCTTTCTACACGTATAGAAAATTCCCATTACAATTTTCATATTTTTCAGATTGAGTTCCTCTACAAAAATCGTTCAAAAGTTCTCTCTCTCTCTCTATTTTAGATGGTCGTTGCTTCCTATCTTCAGGCGCATATGACCAATGCTCCTCCTGTTGGTTAACAGGAGCTTCGTCGGGGGGCGCAGCGGTCTTGCACAAAGCAATGCTGCCACCCATTTTTTTCTAACTTTATATATAAAAAACACTAGTTTTTTAACATAAAAACAATTTCATTTTTTGAAGTCGTGGGAGACCTTTTGGTAATTTTTTACATATATAGCCCCCTTTACGTGGTTATCCGAACCACCCCGGCCTGGATACCGGCGTGAATAAAGGGGGCCACTTATTCATCACTTTTTCAGACACTTCACATTTCAATTTTAATACAACACAACACAAAACGGAGCCCCACGACAGCACATGGCATCCGCGTACCTTCTTTGTGGACGGACGTTATCAGCACGTCCGTCCACTACCACGGCCACCACGGAACTCCTCGTTCAAAAGTTATATCAATTTATTGCACGTTACGTCATTTTGTAGTTTAGTAGCGTTGCAAGTTTGTAACCTGTGAGTCTGCTTTTGAAATCGTGACGACTTTCCTGTATAATAAAAATACTTTTCATATCGTCACACATATTCAATAAAAAGTGTAACTGATTGCTGACTGGATATACGTGGGCGTCGTTTTTACTGTTGTATTCTAGTAGGCTTCACATAACATTGTATTTGATTTATTTTATTCGTTCCATAAATTGAAAAAGTATGTCAATTTAAAGAATCACACACAAGGTCGGTCGGTAGTCAAGCGGTTCGGCGTGGGTGCTTTGTTCACTGACTCGAATTGACTGCCGTGTTGGTCGGTGGTTCAAGCCCTTGTCTGAACGATCGATCTTCACTTGCTATCGTGTTAGGAATCACACGTTAAAAGGTAAGACCTTGTTAATCCTTAGCTCGCACAAGTTTCGACTTCTGAGGGTTGTCGTTCATAGGGGTGCGACAGCTGGTTAACGGCAAAACAGACAGACAGAAATAGACAACAAATATTTGTTACAAAACTAATGAATATACTGTTCGACTGCTTGATGTGGCTGAAACTAAGATCACCTAAATTTGGCGTTTGTGAAACGATTTTCTTATAAATCAGAGAGAGGCGAAAAGAATTTTTTGCTTTTAGAAAATCTGGAAAAATCAACAACTGAAGTCGCAGCTAGTTATATATAGTTTGTTTATCAGGTGCTTACTTTACGGCTAGTTTTTCAGGTTAGATTTGTTTGGGTATGTTAAAAAATTCCACTAGTTGTTACATATTAGATATACGTGTGTTCGAAATAAATAATTCAAATTATCAAAACAATGGACCTTGAAAAAAATAGAATGAATGTTTTGGTCGTTTTGTAATTACTTATTATTTGAAATAAAGTGTTTGCTGACAATATTGTGCAATGCAAAATTTTCACAAAATTTTTTTTTCGAAAACTCAAGCAATTTTATTATTTAAATAATGAGAATATTTTGTTTCAATTATTTTGATATACCTACTCACTTTCATATTCATTCTGCTAGTGGATTATAAACCCATTCATTGAAATCACTGGTATAGTTCTCAAACCTAACATTTTATTAAGCTTTCACCTTTTCAAATATTATCCATTTCGAAAATAGATACTTACCTGAGTTGAGGAAATAAGTAGAACTTTACCTCTATCCATCTTTGAAATTCTCAAACAATGTTTCCATCTGTCTGTTAATGTACCTGCAGAAAAATATTAACAAAGGAAGTACCTAAGTTTATCATGTCAATATAATAGAGATTATAAACGGAAATGCCCAAAATATGTTACATATTCCAAATTAAAAATAAATTAAAGTATAATAAATATTTCCCATCAATTTAGTTTTAACATCCACCTTTGACAATATTTGAAAGACAAGTGAATATAAACTTCTCATATATCAATAGAGGAATCGATAAATATGATATTTATTAGCATTTGCTTGGCGTGTTTTCAGAAGTATGAAAAAACTTTACATAAACTTTTTACCTGACTATTAAAGACGTAATTTCAATTGAGTTGAGTGAGATATAGATACCAGAAAAAATCTAATGTTGGTATAGTTACCAGTTTCAATTCGTATCAAGAAAGTAATCAGTTTCATATTCCATTATCTATAATAATTACATTTTTTATTTCATTGCCAGATTGAAATTTTGAAATATAAGTTGATAAAATTCAAACTAACTTGGTAGGCAGCCGATCGGTTAATGTGAATCGTACTCTAAATCACTACATGAAGATAGGTTCGAATTCAACTGTAGGATTTTGACTGCCTACTATCCTACCCCAGGTAGGAATAGTACGTTAGAAGGTAAGACCTCGTCAACCCTTAGCTCGCACAAATAAACACTTCTAAGGGTTGTAGTTTTAGCAGGACTGATGAAAGTAAGGAATTTTGAAAGCCTAATCTTTTCTTGAATTCTTCACCCAGTCGGTTACGAATTGGTACTTGTGTCCCATTACATTGCACATACATGGATCTAAAACACCAAATATAATTCAGAACAAAAAATTGTCATTTTCGAACAGTTACACTCACACAAATTTTATCACTCTCAGGCATTATATATGATTTATTACTGTTCGATACTCATAACATCTTTGTCTGAAATTAATTCACTTTTCTGAATAATATGAATGTGAAAATTATTAAGTGAATCTTATTTTCTCCAAAAATGCTCGTTATACGTGAATCTTTACCTATGTAATTTTGTTTTATATCCAAAAATTATCGTAAAAAAACACACACACACACACAAACATGAAATCTTGACCGATAAAACGCTAATTGCAAATACATTCAATATAGCATTTGTAGAAACGGATAAAGTTCTTGCTAGCAAGATTCCGAACAACACAAATTTCGAAATCAAAAGAACATCGATCTTAAATTCTTTCCTCTTTGAATCAATTGACCTGACGGAACTTAAAAACACAATTTTCGAGCTTAAAAATAATAAGGCAGTGGGTTGTGATGATTTGAAAACAGAAAATATAAAATCAATTTCAGATCACATTCTAGATCCACTTACTCATATTCTCAACCGATGTGTGGAGGAAGGTGTTTACCCCTGTGATTTCAAAAAAAAAACATTGTTACTCCACTGTTTAAGAAAGGGGACCCATCTATTATCACAAATTATCGTCCTATCTCCTTAGTCACTCATTTCTCGAAGATTATCAAAAAAGGGCTTATCTCTTTCCTTGATAAATACAATCTGATTTCCAACAATCAATTCGGATTTAAAGAAAAAATGTCAACCCAAGATGCTATACTCACTCTCACTTCAAAAGTAACTGAGGCCTTGAATGAAAGCAAAACCAGTCTATGTGTTTTCATTGACCTTTCGAAAGCATTTGACACCGTCAGTCACCATCTACTCCTTCAGTCTTTAGAAGATATCGGAATACGGGGTAACTCATTGAAATTATTCAAGCAGTAAGAATCGATGATATATTGAGCAGTGATAAGGTGATCGACTGTGGAGTACCTCAAGGTTCCGTGCTAAGACCAATACTATTTAATATATATTATAACGGAATTTTCGCATTAGGCAACGGAAACATAGTCGGCTTCGCAGATGACACTGCTATCTTTCACAAAGCAGATAACTGGAATTCCTTGTAAAGAAAACTTGAATCAGAATTCTCCCTCATAAAATATTGGCTGGATAAGAAACTACTGACGGTGAATATTGACATAACGCATTACCTACTATTCTGTTGTAATGCAGCTGGAGCACCCGCGTTTGATCAATTATCAATAAGAACTGATACACCTTTCCACATCTTTCCTGAAAAGAAAATAAAATACTTAGGAGTAATTCTAGACACCAATTTGAAATGGAACCTCCATATTAAATATACCGTCAATAAATTGAGGACCATTCTTTTCAAATTCAGGAAACTTAAAGAACTCCTACCTCTAAAATATCTCAAAACTTTATACTACTCGCTTGTGGAAAGCCATATTCGCTATGGAATAGTAGTTTGGGGAAGAGCATTAAGTAGTCATATTTCTCAAATTGAAATTATGCAAAGGCGTTTTCATAAATTGATATTCTCTAAAAATGGTAGGTATTCCTGTGATAGATCATACATCGAAACTCGTCTGTTAGACATACGACAGTTGTATTTTTTATGCTCTAGCATTAAATATCATACAAATAGACATACGGCATCGCTTCCTTCACATCAGTACCACACCCGCCAAAAAGATCAGTATACTACACCCCTAATGATCAGGGTCGTTACTCAAAGATCATTTACTCACTTTGCGCCTAAACTCTACAACCGAATTCCTGAAAATACAAAATCTATCTCAAATATCAATCGCTTCAAAAAAGAGTTGAAAGAGCATATTCTTCAAAGTCAGAGACTTGAACTTCTACGTCTATTTGAGTAGATGGGAAAAAACCATACGTATAGTTCAAGTAAAAGATATAGTGCCCCCTACCTTCCAGCAGTTCCCCTTTAATAACACACAATGCGGTACTCATCGCTACATTCTGTTGGTCACCATAACATGACTTCAAATTTAATTTTATGACTCTTCAGCCAATCTTAAAACTCGGTTAGTAAAATTTATCCAATACGAACCGCCAATTCTTCAGTCCACATGGACTAATTCGTTGCGGCATAATTCCTTTGTATTGTTTTTTTTGGCCTTTGACTTCGCCGACACCTTTAAGATTACTCTATCGGTTACTTCGACTATACCTTTGCTATATTGCCCACTTACAATTCTGTAATACATATGTCTTTATATATGTGTATGTGCAGTATCGTTTTGTTAATTTATCACATGCATTTTCAACAACATCCATATCGATTTCAACATGTTTTTATATATTATTACTAGTACGCGTATTTTACAATTGTGATTTTAAACTTAATTATCAATTTAGTTTTATGTTTGTATGATTTTATATTTAAATGATATCATATGTCAAAACAGACAACTTTTTATATTTATACTTATATTTGTGATTTTATATTATCTTATGTGTTTTTAATTTCATATATTAAGTATTTAATATATATCATATATTCATTTTTTCCCTTTGGATATCCTTTTCACCATATACAAGCAACATCTGATGCTTCTGTGGTTTCTATGATGTTTATTCAGCTGTATGTATTACTTTAGTTATTTATTTTTGTGATTTAAATCTGAATAAACATTATTATTATATTATTATACTTTTAGTTTTTTCATAAGTTAGCAAACACGACATAATTCACGTGATAAGTGAATATTCAAACGAACAAAACTGATTTCTTCGAGTTAATTTGAGATCCATTTTGCAACTTTCAAAATCTTCTTTCCATATCCTTAGATACTCATAACGTGTTTGTCTGAAATTCATTCACTTTTCTGAATAATATGAATGTGAAAATGCTCAGTATATGTAAATGCTTTTCTTCATGAACCCGTCAACCTGTTTGAAAAAAAAATCTGTTTAAAATCTGTTTTTCCATTAATCAGCTGCCCCCATACAAACGACAACTCTCAGAAGTTGAGAACTTGTGCAAGCTAAGGACTAACGAGGTCTTACCTTTTAACGTGTGATTCCTCTTTCGAATAATTTAAACACTATTCGAATATTGCCATTGTGGCGGACAATGAGCAGAAGTCGTAAACAAAAGGCGGCTTCAAAGGTGCTAAGTGAAAATTCAAATTGCAAATGTGTTTGCAGACAAAACAAAAACCTGGCGGATCCGGTTAGAAGTTATGATGGCCCAGAATTAGCAAGTGAAATTAAATTTATCTACGGGGACTCCGGTGAATGCTAGGCTACTTTGGATACTGAATTAAACTAACTTTCTACGGAATGTTCAAGCATCGAGGTTTTTCTTTTATATACGCTTTCGTTTTCTAAACGATGGGCAAGAAGAAACAAAAAGATACCGAAGGTCTACAGACGTTCGGTACAGCTTAAATCAATTATACTATTATTACGAAATACAATAGTGATATCTCCATCGATTCTTTATAACTAGTACAACTTCATAACTGACTACACTAACTTGTATACCAACAAAAGTAATCGACTACTTTTTTTTATGGTAATGAAATTATACAGAAATTCATTTCCTTTCATACATAAAATAATCACTTTTTCACCTATTCCTTTTCTTAGCATTTACTATTCTTTGCGATGTTAGACTCCTTCTCTTTCTTTTCTGTTCTTGTGCAATCCATCTTTGAGTTACCCCTGGCATTATTCTTGCTTTCTGATGAATTTCAGGAACTCAAAGTACGATGTCGGTTCAAAAAATAAGGTTAATGTTCATCTTTCGCAAGCTTCGTACATTCGATTATCGATTTTTTATTTTATTGGGGTGGTACACTCGTCTCGAACATATGTTAAGAATTTCAGCTATTTTGCGTGTTCGCCGATTTTCTGCTATCGAAAAAATGGATGGAAGGATTTGAATCAAATTTTATGTAGAAAAATGAAATTGACAAAAAAAACAATCCGAAAAAAGCATACCAAGTATCAAATTTTTACTCTCTGTTTTTTTTATTACCGTGATGTAGTGCATCAGGAGTTCTTGCCACATGGTCGAACGGTCAATGAGAAGTATTATCTTAGAGAAATACGAAACACGCCCGGTATTGTCGAAAAACAATTCATGGCTTTTCCATC